CCACACATTTTTTTATCCTGTCTTCATTTAACATCCTGTTAATGATTGCTCACACATCAAGCTTATGTGTTAGGTGTTCCTTAATAATACCGCAAGTCAATGTTGGTCTGTTTGCCGATAAAATACATTTAAGTTGAGCTTAGTACCGTGCAAAGCCTTTACATCCATATGCATAAGAAACAGGAATAAATTATCATAATTGGTTTCACAGTCTTTTAGGTAAAACTCCTTCGGCAGAGAAAAATCATGGATGTGTTTTAATTAGGAAATTTATTGACACACAAGTTGGCAGTTACAATTTACTATTATAAAAGAATATTATTCCGTAAAAATGCTAAAAAGAAGCCTGTTGAATAGTAATGATTCATGTCGAATCAGAAATTAACTATAATTCCATAATAAATCTTAAAGCAGTATTAATATTATATTCAAACTATTTAAAAGGGCAAAAAAGGAACCTGTTAAATAATTTTTCTTTATGACTTTTCAAAATTTTAATGGAATCATTAAAATATTAAAATTTAAATATTATTTATATTATAAACAAAATATTTAAAAAATTATTGAATGCATTTCATATACGATAGGTTCACTTCATCCATTTGATTCATCGAATGGGTAGTAAACCATATGTATAGAAAAACCATATGTATTAAGAAAATTTTCTTAATAACTATACTAAAAAGCAATAAAACATGTCTTTAAAAAAGTAATAATTGCATCTATCTATAATAAAACGCTAAATACTAATACTTAGTGTACTAATATACTAATAATTACGTTAGGTCAGATTTGAAAAGAGCAAGCACCAACTATTGGCCATTGTGATCTCTGAAATTGGGCGGAGGAGGAATCGAGCTATACAAACTATTGTTTAGAAAATAACTCTACATATTATTCGTGTTAAACCATTTGGTTTTCTGCTAGAGATATCCGATAATTCTAATTGTATTAGCTATGACAGTTGTAATAAAGTAATAGCAGTACCACATCCCCTCTTAATAATTAAAAGCTATTTATCACTGTCAACTTTTTCAACACTATTTTCTCTTGGTTTTTAACTAAATAATATAAAATAATGGTTACTGTGATATATACATATAAGTATAACTGTATTAAATTCTTCGAAATAAACATGCTTGAAAGCTCTTCTTCCAAACTATTGGATTTCCTAGATATAGTTAAGGGGTCCCCAAGTATATACTTTCACCAGCTCTGAAATCTTGGGTGAATCATAAAAGGTAATTAACAGATTCCATTTCTTTTGTCATGGCCCCTTCTACAAAGTCCGATCAGTAGATTGTACTACCGTTACACATTGGTTATCGGGTTAACGTCTATTACGGAGAATTCTTTTAGCAGTAACAGCCCTCAATGAACATCTGTATCGGTAAGTGATATATCACATATAAATTATCTTGCAGTGCACTAACTATAGCTAGATATATAAAAGTATCCGGGCTTGAATTTATTATCCAATGACTTTCACCTGTTTAGGTACCCATCCGTAATGATGAATAGTGGTTGTTGTTTATATATCATATACTACATACATGTAGTGACATGTCGCGTCAACACCAAATTGTTTTTTATAGTCTCTTCTTATGTCTGACCTCAATATTCATCTTCTAGCTTAGATCGAAATCAAGCCACCACACTTATTAACCTAATTTCTAAGTAAAATTTAACAATGGAATGACATTGCACCCAGGTGAATTGTAAACTTAGTTTAGTTATGTTTTTAAATTGGACAAAAATTTTAATTTTTTTCTATACGGACTAGGCTGAAGGCAAACTTTAGTCTTTGTTTTTTGATTTCTGTAATGTATTTGCTAAGAATCAGTATCAGTAATTCTCTTAGTTATATTTTTGTAGCTAATAGTCGTATATTTCCAACATCTACCGGAAAGCACATCTAGTGCTGTTTTGTATTTTGTCAACCTATTAAGTCGATAACTGCCAGCTCTAACTAGCTAGTTTGATTGCTAATAAATGTTTAAGTAAGGACTTTTTCTTTATTTTTGATAAGAATTTTAATGGAGTTAATTAACTTAAACCTACATCAATGATCCATTGTATAGCAAGACAGACAAGATAAGGAAACTGTAATAAGCAGAGTTAATACACATGCAATCGATTTAAAGATTCACAAATGAAAATCAATTGTGGAACCATATCAGGTTCAAAGCAGGTGAAACTGAATACCGAAATTGCTTATATCAATCCAATTTTAATTGTATGAGCCATCCTATCGTCTCATCACTTTTAATAATGCACATAAAGTACTTATCGTTTACACAATTGCTGTTTTACCTATAAAAAGATATTTTGCATAAACTGAATTTGCCATAGTAAATCATATTAATGTTTTTATTTCATAGTGAATAATTAAGGATATTAATATTTATGTATAAAATACATATGTTTAACTTAATATATAAAAAAATAAATATTGGCAATTTCTTTTTTGGTCCGCAAATAAACGTATTAAATATATTATTAATTTATAGGCACTATCATTTTTTATGAAAATTAACATTAATAAACCATAAATAATTGCAACATGTATATCAATGCGATTATCCTTATGATTCTTTAATGCAACAAAACGATCAAAATGCAAATATTGTCAACTCAAATTGAATTGTGAATTAATTTAATTACACATTTTCCCCGAGTGTGTAATTTTTGTGCACAATCAGGCACAAATGTGCGTAAACCGGTACGAACGTGGAAGCAATCCACAGGACTTCAATATTCATCGCCGGTAAATGAAAACACGTAATTAATTTTTATTATTCTTCGCTAATTTATCGAACTGATTTAATTTCAGTATTAATTTTCTCATAGCTCATAATTTTCTCATATTATAGTATTTAATAATTTTTACATATTTAAGTTCAACTAAAAATTTTGAGGTTCAAATATATTCGTGTGAGATAATTTTTATTAAATTTGTTAAAGAATACTGTTACCTATTATTGTGGAATTATTTAAGGCATTCATATTGTATAAGTCTTATAATAAGAGCATCATTCCGGTTTTTGGGCGTCGTCCATTTGCCTAGGATCTTAAAAATATATTCAAAGAGATAACTGTTAAGATATTTTCTAAGCTTCTTGCATATAAATATAAAGCAATGAACTAAATCAGTTGTGACCAGGTATATATGTTATATACTCATTAATATCTGTTCATCCATAAAACACTCTTCTTACCTCAAAAATGAACAAATCAGCTAGAAATATGCAATGACTAATGATGAAACTAAACAAATCTGGTTATCTATTGAACCATTTAGAACTATGGAATTAATCAATTTGAGTAGAACTGAAAATGATTATATTATATCATTTGTAATAGATTATTGTTAGAAACCTCAAGCAATGGAAACAACAGTCTACATAAACATTCATGAACAAGTTTTTTGCGAGGCATTCTTAAAATAGGCCATCTTGTAAAATTTTCCAATGAGTTCTTGTAGAGTTTGAGCAGCTGCCAACAACATAAGTAACCATCTATCTATATAACTGGCTAGCAGAAACTGGAAACAGCAGAATACGTTCTATGCGTCTCCCGTGGCAAGACGCAGTGGAGTTTTGAGCCCTGAACACTTGCTAAACACACCCCACAATTATGACAAAATTCTTGAAAAATTTGGAATTGGACTAGTTGGGCGAAGGGCTGCACAAAAGATCTTTCAGGTCGCAGTGCATGCACAACCTATCCATAATAATAATAACTAGCTTAGTGGTGAAACCCGTAGAATAGAACACAGGTCCTTAATATGTCATCGCTCTGCTAGTAAAGAAATTGCTCATAACGGATGTAAGTTGAATAGAACACGATTTAGATTGATTCTGATGGCCCTATTTTAAAGAGGCAGTAAGCAAGTGCTTAATAGACATGCATGTTCAGATACTTAGACATGATGATCTGTGTGGGTTTTACTAAAAGGAAGAAAACGAATTACCAAACTCTATCTCATGTCCAGTATTAGCAAGAAAGCGCGATACAATTCTTAAAATAAACGTTTTTGGAAGTCCTAAACAACTATCAGAAATTTTAATTTAATTTAATTTTCGATATGATAGAAGTATTCTTTAAAAAGCAAGAACGTGTCATAAAAACTCTTGAAAAAAACCAAATCACTAAAACCGGATATCTTAATATAAAATCCTGTAGGTAATGCAACGTATCTAAAGGTGTTCTACGTGACGCCTATGCATAATACCAAAATATCATTAACTTAACTCATTTGTTGTTAATTACAAATTTTACCTACCCACTTTAATTAAGCATACAGTCAGTGCTCAACTTTTTTCAATTGTATACATAAAAATAAAAAATTATTGTGTCACATAATAGTACTAAAAATAATTATAAAAAGCATGAGCATTTAAAAAATCAGAAAGAGTGCCACTAAACAGCACTAAAACGGTAGAAGAATACTACTACATTATATATTTTTTTTGTGAAAAATCTTTGAATATATATATAAACATTTTCAATATTAAACAAGACTTCATGTCGTTGTATCTCAAGTTATAAAATTCATAAGCATCTGTTTCTATTAATATTGTTAGAGTTTTGAACTTATGAACCTTAAAATCGATTTATGAGCAAAACCAAATTATGTTTTAAATAATTTTAAATTAATTGCAAAACATTAGAGAATAAAAATCAACTGATTTTATTTATTTTATTCAATTATTTCCAGTAAATAATATTTGTTTATATGGTAATTTTACTTTAAACAAAAAGTACTCATACTAATACTGGGTTAAGTTCTTCTCTTATTTTGAATGAAGAAAACTTTTCAAATAATTTTTAATAAATTTCATAACAATATGTCTATCCTACATAACCCAGAACAAGATACGAACAAAACAGTTGTGAATATTTTGCAAATTTTGCTCAAAGGTTGTTATCAACAATTCTGTTGGTTTTCCGTGTAAGGACATGAAAAAGTGTACGTACATGTAAATAACTCAGCTCCAAGTACTTTTATGCGTATAATAAAGTTTTGAGTTCAATCGTTCGGAAGGAAATGAATGAATTATATTGAAAATGTAACTCGGAGCAAAAAGGTACTTTTTTACTTTTCTCATTATTGGAATATTTACATAAACTGCATAAACAACACACAGAACAAACGAATGGTATGACATACGTGCGTCTGATCGGTGCCATTTATGGAAACGAACTTCCATACTGGCGGAGCACAATACAGTGTGCGTATCCCGCATATATGCTAAATACGCTTGTCCTGTCATGTGTACATAATGACACATTCGCGTACTACGTACTCCAAGTTATAATGCTTAAATTACTAACGAAAAGTTTTGTACGTGGAAGTTGGCGATAGACGTGAGCTGATGAATATCGACGTGAAGGATGCCTTGTTTTAATGTGAATATTGTAAAAAAAGCGTAAGGAAAAATAATGTTTACACAATTATAAGCGCATATGGGAAAATGACTCTTAACAAGCACTAATTGATATAAAAATATGTTTCGCAATAAATAAATATATATATGCTTATAAACCAAGAAAAAAAGGGAAGAAAACAAAGATATATGTGCTGTTGTGCGACGTAAATTATGAAGCACTTTTGCCATGTCATTTAGTGCTTAAGACATTATAAGTGGAAACTTCGCACAGCATCAACACTTTATTTTCAACTCGACTACTTTGTGAAATTTACTGTCAATTTTTATTCCTACGCCATTTTTCATCCTTGAGCTCCTTATTAAATTATAGCCTTTACACAACTTTCCTTACATCACTTATTCCTATAGCGGGTTGAAAGGAGAACAGTCAATTTTCATAAATTCTCATTTTTCTTTTTTTTTTTTGTACTTTATCTTTTGCAGATGCTCCTGTTTGTGGCACAAATGCAGTTGTTGTTATTGGTGCATCACTTGAAGAAGCTGTTCCTATACCATGTCGTGTTAACTCAGATCCACCAGAAATTGATTTCGAATGGACATTTTCAAGTAGTGGTGAACATTTTGAAGTGCCGTCAGGACATTATGCCACTATACAGGAGGCAACCACAACAGGCGATATACATCGAACCATTGTCGAGGCAAATGACACACACTTCGAGACATACGGTAAGTTCAAAAAAAAGCATATCAATACTTCTGCCCATAGTGTATTAAGATGTGGTATGTTGTTAGAAGTGGGTGAAAATATTATATATTTTAAATTATATTTTTTATAAAATAAAACTCAAAGTTAAGGGATTAAGTTATTGTGAAGTAGTTTTTGTTTGCACGTTTCATTTCACTCAGCGCATCAAGTATTAATAGCACTAAAATATGTTATGAAGTAATGGAAAATATTTAAAAAATCTTACTCGCAGTAATGTAAGATTTGATACCAACAATATATGTATGTGTAGCGTTTAGCAAAGCTTCAAACACTACTATTCGCCAGCTAGAAATTGCACAAAGCCAAGCTCTGAGAAGACTTTTCAAGGTACCATGGTACATTAGGGCAAATAACATCCTCAGGGACCTCAAGTTTGATCCGATCAAAAAATATATAAACGATAGAGCTTTTAAATTATTTGCAAAAACTGACCGCGTTATCAAATCTCAGAATGGGAGGTATGCAGATATGAGGTCAGTTATTGCTTAGTCTGATGAAGTGATAAACAATAATCCAGTCAAGGCGTAAAGAGGGGTTTTGTAGAAACCTCAAGTGAATAGAGCATAAAAGTGTTCAAGTGCACTGGCTCAAATAACTTCAATATAACAATATATTAATCCAGACTAATTTAAGAACACGACTCACTTATGCAAAGTATCTTTAGAAAAAAATCGTTTTTCTTTTTGAAAATAAATAATGATTTTCTCACAGTGAATAAATACTTTATAGAATTATTTTTAATCAATTCTGGCAGAACACACTTTAAATGCATTCTTCTTAGTTGCATGGAGCTGTAAATATATACTACTGCTTCTATATTAGTTAAAAATGTCATTTATTTTTAACCTTATATTAGTCTTCAGTATTTTTTAAGTACAAGTCATTGCGGATGCCTATTCTTTAAGGATAGCATACTACAAGCATACCATACACATTTATATATTTAAATATATCTGAAACAAGTATAAAATTTCGAATAAATTGTTTTATTCAGTTAAAGTCTTCTCTGGAAGTATTCAAATTAAACAAAGATTTATTTTTTGAAAGTAGATAATCTTTAATATTTAAATTTATTATTAAATAAAACCTATAAGCAAAAAGTATTAGAAATGTCTTCAATACTTGAAGAAATCACAAAAAAAAAATTTGTGGGCATAAATGTATGTTTTTTTAGTTTAATTTAAGATTTTAAAAGAGATCTGAAGGTATAGAAATTCTTCTGAAATTAAATTAAATTAAATTCAAAGAATTTCTTACTAAGCATTATATATTCAAGTGCAAAGGATAATGTGATAATATATTTTATTTGAGTTTTGTCTGCAATTTATGTTCTGCTTATTTTGAGATACAATCTGTGAAATATTTTTTTCATATAAATACCAATTATTTTAGCTAATAATATTAAAAATATTTTTCTAAATAATTTCTCAGGAATTATTAGATAAACCACATTTATTGCTATTCATACTTACAATCTCACACAATATAACAGCCTTTTTGTGTAAATCCTGTGTAGCACATGTGCAACAACTCTTGGAGTAATAACTCAGGCATTTGTGTTGAGTCTAAGGAATTAAAAATGCATTCTGTGAATTCATGGTTAGTTGAGTTTTATCAATATCTTATATCAGTATTAAATTATCTATACTCACAGTTGGTTACTTCTGGTATTGTGAATGCAATGTAGTTTGTCTGTTGATGTTAGCCGAACATGTGCAATTCAAGTACAATATTTACAATATTCCTATATGAAAATATATTACCAACAACAATATTTCATTTGATTCCGCACACAATATCATGGTGTAATCTAAATGGGAATTAAATTTAATTTAAATTCATATTTATAAGCTATAGTATTGTGCAGAACAAATTATATGTGTGTGTGTGTGTGTTGATAGATGCATAAGGATTTAATATCCTTCATGTGTATATACCAGTGAATGTGTGTATTTGTAAAACTTGCAAACTGTAGATATATTTATATATATAATAAATTCTTTTTGTGTTTGTTTTATTTCAGTTGAGACTGTAAGTGAGCTGATATATACGCCAAAGGGTGAAAGGGATTACGGTACACTGGCGTGTTGGGGCCGAAACTCAATTGGCAAACAATCGGAGCCGTGCCTGTTTCAGGTTGTACCAGCAGGTAAGTTTACTTTACTTTTCACTTCCAAAGAAGCTGCACAGATACTTTAACATAAACATAGATCCGGGTATAACAGATTTACGGATATCAATGTCTGTTTGTATGCGATTAAGCATAAAATTCACAAGTTAGGTAGACAATAGTGGCTACTCGAACCTAAAAGTTGACAAGAGCTTATTTAAAAGTTTTGCATGCAATTAAAAAGTTTTCTATACAAATTTGTTGAAAATTGAAAAACTCAGAACTCAGAACTCAGCTTGAAATGGAAAGCCTTTGTCGAGGTAAATTTCTTTTCACTATCAATACATAACGAATTGTATAGATTTTTCTTAAGCAGATTAAAGCGATTTATGCTGAAATGATTTGAAGCATAAATACAAACAAATTTGCATTAAAGATTATAAATATTTTGCAAAATATTTCAATATAAATAATTCATTTAAGAATTTTATTTTACTTTTTTAATGCAAAATGACTTTTAAATTAAAATAACTCTCTTTTATTTGAAAATTGATATGAAATCATATTTTTATATGGTATGAAAACTAACTTTTATATATGATTTTACTTAAATACACATATTTATGCATTGAATTTTCTCAATTTAAACAATATATAATAATTATAACCAAATAAAATAAATTACTTTTTACTTAAAATTCAAGCCAAACCTGGTGCTCTACGCAATTGTACATTGCGTCCATACGTGGTAACGTCAGCATCGCTCAATTCATCGAATCAGACAACAATGCACAGCAATCAAATATTACCAACGCAATATGGACATCATGAATCAAATTTTCCACATATGGAATATGTACGTGAGCGACATCCAAACAACAATAGCATCAATAACAGCAAAAGCAATAGCAATAGCAACAGCAACAGCAACGGCAACAGCAACAGCAACGACAACGGAAATATTAAGAATGATAGCAACAGCTCCGGTAATAATGTTAGGCATGGCACCAGCATAAATAACAACAGAAAAACTAATAATAAAATCAACAATGCTAATCAACAACATAAAAAATCTGCAGCGACAACAACAACAACAAACACAAAAGACTATCAACAACAGCGACAACAAACATATCTACAACAACCATTAATGAATAAGCAACAATTGCAACGCCTTAAAAAACGCACATCATTTACGCCATCGCAAACACTAGCAGCAATCAAGAAGCAGCAACTACGTAAACAACAACAAAAACAACATAATAAGCTAAACAACAACCAAATGATTGTCGATGTGAGCAACTACAATATAGCTGTCGCAGCACCATCCTCATCAGCAGCATCATCAGCATCAGTAGCAGGAGCAGGAGCAGCAGCAGCATCAATAGTAGCATCATCATCATCATCGGTAGAAGCGACATTGTCAGCTTCAACAACAATGTCATATATCAATAACAAAACTGATGGATCATCAACTAAGGCACGAGTGGACAATAAGCGCAGAGTGAAACGTGCTACTGATGAGGCACAAAAGACAACATACAATAACACAAAGAAATCGGTAAGAATATCTACAGCAACAGCAACAACATCAACAGCAATAAGAACAGAGAAGAAGAATAAGTTAAAACATACAACTAAGAAACAAAAATCAAATTTATCACTGTCGAGCGATAGGAAATGGCAGAAAAATAAAAATATGGCAACTGCTGAGAACATTCTTATTGGTAATGGTGAAAGTAACAACAACAATAATAACAACAGCAACAGCAACAACACTAGTAACAGCATTAGCAATAGAAGCAGAAGTAATATGGTAGAAAAATATCATAATAACCGTCGTAAAAACACGCATAAACGTGAGGTAAGTCCGACGAGGGTAATCCATCATTATGAAAGAGAAACGGAAACGGAAGTTGATGCAGCTAGAATCGCAAAAAGAGAAACTGCAACTGCAGCAGTTGTCGTTAAGCACACAAATGCAACAAAAAGAACAAGTAAACATCTTGCAAATGCAAAAACATCAATAATAGCTGCACAATATGAAAGTCAACAACAGCAACACCAACAACACCAACAACACGAGCAACACCAACAACATCAGCAGTATAGTAAACCAGGACAACATGAAGAAACATTGCAGCAGCAACTTACAACTCAGCGAGAATTTAATGACTTTAGCAACAAGAACAAGAACAAGAACAAGAACAAGGACAACGAATTACGAAAGCAACGAAATGCAGACAATGCCAAAAAGGACAATTTAGAAAAAATACGCATACGTAAATCATTGACAATGCAAAATAATATGGAACGGCATACCATTGCCAGCAAAAACAAAAATGGCAGCAATAGCAATAACAATAATGTTGCAAGCAATATAAAAATACCGAATGCACCTTTAATAAGCAACAACAATAACAATAGCAATATGAAAGGACAAGAAAGTCAACAGGAACACAAACAACGAAATACAAAATCCAACGAATTGAATGTTGCTAATATTAATAGTGCCATTGTCAACAATATGCAGCAAACAATAAATGATCTTAATCAAATAGAAGATATTGTTGCTAGCAATATTGTTGATTCTGAATCCGTCAACGACATATTCGATAGCAATTTTACCAATAATGATGAGGATATTGATGCTGATATTGATGTTGATGCTGATGCTGATGCAGAAGCTGACGCTGAAGCTGAAGCAGTAGCTGAAACTGAAACTGACATGGAAGTTGAAAATGAAGTAGAAGCTGATTTAGATGCTGACACAGAAACTGATGATGATGATGATGATGATAATGGTATGGAGGATGAAGAAATTGAAGATGATGTTGCATTATTAAATGCTTTGGATGATGCTGCAACAATGCAGTCACACCATCAGCAGCAACAACAACTATTATTACAACAGCAGCAACAAGAGCAATATGTTCAAGAACCGCATTTTGATTATTCACGCATGGAATACAGCTTTAGTAATGGTGTAGCCACACATAGTCTAATCGGTGGCAATAGTGTTGATATGGGTGAAGGCGGCAGCATCAATATGGAAAATAACGATAATATCGTTTATTCAACCATGGAATTGGAATGTATGCCCGGTTATGATGGTGGCTTGCAGCAGCAATTCTTTTTAGAGGCATATGATTCGAAAACAAAGAAATTACGCTTAAATACGACAAGCACGTACTCGGATGTGCCCATATTCCGCATTGATTTAAGTGGTAAGTAGATACATTGAAAGTGTATTCAAACATTCATCAATTTAAGAAGAACTACTCAACATGTAGTTATTGAAGTCATAAAGTGATTGATATGAAGGGTGTATTAAATGATTAGAAAGTACAACAGTAAGGCATTCTTGAAAGTTTCAGTATTGGTAAATTTTAATTGCTTAAAACGTTGCGTGATAAATGTATGAAATATGGAAATTGACTTATAAATTCAAAATTAAAGAATTATCATAGAAATATTATTCTACTACTGAGCACTGCCAATTCAATAGATCATTGATCGTTAATATTATATATGTAGGTTTTTCATGAAATTTACTACAGTTTGGGATTCGTTGTTTAATAATTTATATGGAGGCACAGCAATACCAACTAAGTGGTGAAGACTTTGTCTGCCAAGAGCTAAACATTTACAAGGAATATATCCTGACAGTTTCGGAGAGCTCTATAACTTGTGAAAAGGTAACACTAACTTACAAAACAATCAGATAGGGTTCTCAAATCCACTCTACTTAGCAAAAGTATTATATTTCGTTTAGGAATCCCTTCGCTGGGATAAGAAATCGTTTTACTTGACATTGGTCTACACGATTACCACTAGTAGTTCGCAAATTTTTTGCCTCTCGCTTCCTGATGCCATATAACTTCTGCTGAGTCCGCTAAGAGGCTTAGGATCAATTGAGGAATATTTGCCTTTTCTTGATTGATTCTCTTGATTCGATAATCAGCCTACTTTAGGTTTTCAACAATTTTATTCAATCGAATACCGTACTGCATGAAATTTAAATATTAAATTTATAAATCTTAGTTTCTAATATTGGGTGTTATAAGAAGTATCCACCGTTCTCTTGGCGAGTTTTTGGAGCAAAATTTTCTTTATTAAAATTTAATGTTTTTTAACGATACCCATATATTTGGTATTATTATATCTATAGGGGCTTTTACCTTTTTCCGTGTAGCTTCATATATTGCATCATCGTGAAACTTTAGTAGTTTATCCGCAACAAACCTTGATCAAGTGATTTTGAGCAGCTCTGCGGTCGTACAATTTTTACTATAAAGGCAGTTTAGGAAAGATATAGTCAGATAGTTTCAGTTCCAGTCTATATAGTGAATGCAACAAATCTTCCCAACCAAGTAGGGTTTGTGATTTGTTGGAATTTATCATGATGATAAATAAATTATTGTCAAATTAGCAAAATTATTACATATCTTTATTACTCGAAAAACTTCCATACTTCATATTAGCCTCAAACTTACTGTACGCTTCCGAGATACCTGCGAATAAATCAAATAATTTCAATGCAGACAAAAACAAAAGTTATAGGCCACAAATTCGTGATGTGAATGTGAGTGGTAATTGTGGGTAAAGTTTTATCTAACGACGTTTAATTAGTTCCAAGTTGTTTGAAGTTCGTTGGTTGTTCTTCCTTTTTTTGCTTTTGCTTTTGCTTTTGTTTTGGATTTCGTATTTTGTTTTTCAACAAAATATATTTTTGTTTTAATGGATTTGATATTGTCAGCAAAACTTTTATGCCAACAGCACCTTCACGCTTTGGCTTGAATTCTTCCACCTCCGAATACCAGAGTACCAGTGTACGTACGCCAGTGAATTTAACTTTGTAGTTTATTAGTAAAACCAGGTTTAGCAGAATCAACAGAAATTGTGAGAGGAAAATGGAGGGGAAAAAGATTTTCCAACAAATACAGAGTAAAAACAAAAAGGAAGAGAAAGTGAAAAAGAAAAACAGAACGCGAAAAAATAGACAGAAAAGTGAAATATTCAAATGAAGTTGTCGAAAAATAAAATTTATCTCTAAATTCCACAGATTCCGGAATGAATAACGAGCAGCATAGATTTGTATTTATAAGATTTAATTTTATGCAAAAAAGCACGGAGCGCAAAAACGGAATTACAAAAACATGGCATAAAAGTTTGTGGCGGCTTAGTCGCTTAACGCAGCGCTGAAGTTAGCTGCAAAATCATCGCACTTGCGAGGTAATGAGCCAAACTTTGATTATTGAAGTTTTTGTGGTTGGCTGGATTTTTACATTTCCAGCAATTTTACTTTGCATATTTTTTCCCCCATTTATCTAAGTAACCTCTCCACCGTATACCGTATCCACCGTATTTTGGCAGAAATCTATCGATGAAGTTAACAAATACTTTTTGGATTTATAGAAGAGCTTATTTCAGTGTTTGCTTAAGTAAGCATATTTAGATACAAATTTATATAAAAGCAAGTATATATGTGTGTGTGTCTATATGTTATAAAGGGACAGCAATGTACGTATGCAACTGTGCTTTATTTGCAAAGGCTAACGAAGCGTGAAGTCACGATTAGTTAGACAAATGCGCTAAATTCATACAGCAAAAGCCGGAGTTGCTTCATTGGTTACTTTTGGTTGCTGCTATTAAAACAGCAACTTTTTACACAATTTTCTCTACTGCTGCTCTTATTTAATAAAGCAAAAGTGAAGTCAAAGTTTGTAAACAAAATAGTTTCTTCCTAAAGGATTAGTTAAGTAAAATGCAAGAAACGTACTCGCACAAAGGAAAGCTCTTGAAACATGCCTTCACTCTCAATAAATCATGTGTGGGCATTAATTAAAAATTTTCCAAATGTATTGAGTTATTCTGCTCTTCGACTTATGACCAAATCAGCCATGAACTTTGCTGGCCTTTCGTCTAATTATCCATGCACTGCATTATTTAGTTCATTTGGAACTTAAAAGTAAACATCAAATGGAGCATTTGTCTAACTTATGATAGTATCCATATATCTAGCTTTCTCGAAATACTAGTTGTTTTATTCCAAAGTAAATGAACTTAGAGAAGACATATGCATTTATCTAATAGAAAATAGTATCGTTGTAACTAAAGCAAAGGAATTATTTGCTTAACTTTAATACAACTACATATCATTGAATATGGTATCTTAAGTTTGTATAAAAAGTCAAAATTTTATTCATGTTAATTATTCCAGAGAACAGTGAGTAGATTTTTTAAATCAAAAAATTTTTTAGTTTCGAAATCAATTCTTAGGAGGACTAAACAGTTATCCCTAAACATGCCGTGCACTTACTGTATTGAATAATAAAATAAACGCATAAATCACAGCTATACAGTTATATAAATTAACTGCATATTTTTAAATTGTAATTTTTTAAAGTATAAACAGAATTGTTTGTAAAGAAATAATTTTAAAAATCACTGATGTGATTTTTGATGGTTTCGATCCGCACCAGCTCTATAGTCGTCTTAAGAATTTGCTGACTTATAAGAATTTGCTGACTAGTTCTTAAGAACTAGTTGCATAAATATAATATTAAATTAATTAAAAGTTTTTTGATATGAAGATTTTTTCATACGGAAATAACTATTCTAGATATAATTTCTCTATTTTCATCTTCACTAAATATCACTCTTAACACATCAAAATTTTTGGCTATACAGTTTATGTAAATGGGTTATGACATAAAGGTCCCTTAGGTACGTTTACTGTAAAGTGATGGTTTTGAGTCAAATATAAAACCATAGCCTAGACTCAACTTTCTGTGAAAAATTTGCAGTTTTAAAGCACATTTACCTTAATGAAAATCGTACTAAGTATATTCCATAGAATTTTTCATACACTTACAATTGCATTGGTAGTAAATTGGTAGTAACTTACCGACTCCGAAGATACTTAAGTTAAAAGTATATTTTTAATACAATTTGTCAGTTGAGACTGGTTCCATAAACAATTTTAGTGCAGCGACATCTATGACATCTGAGATGCTTAAGTCAAAAGTATATTTTTAATACAATTTGTCAGATGAGACTGGTTCCATAAACAATTTTAGTGCAGTGACTTCTATGATTGAGTAATAATAGATAAATGGTGTGCACTTTATCTATTGTACTTACTGCCAAGATTTCAACAACAGTACTAATGTAATTTGCTGTGAGCTGGTATTTTATATTGTGCCACTGGGTATACATCGGTAAAAAAATAAATAAATAGAACAAAGAGCGGGTATGAAATTACGTTAAATATTGTTTAAAAGTGGTGCTAAAACGTATATAAGGCTATAAAATTCGGGGGAGTGGTAATGAATGAATGTTACCAAACTTCTCTTAAATAAATCTCTTTATCTTTAGATTTTTCTCTAATGTTGAAACTAATTAACATATAATACTAAAATATCATCACTTTAATGACGTTTGTTACGAATATTCAATTTAAGTCATTTATTACTCAAGTGAATTTGTTACCACAATCATTTCATTTAAGTATCAATTTATTTCTTATTATTTACTACTTATTCTTTTAATTAATAGACCTAACATCAATGGATTACTATCCTGATCCCAATCCAGCACTGCATCTCGTTGTCTACAGTGTTAATCAAAAAGGGCGCTCAGAGCCAATTGTGCTTGAGAACATACCAATTAATGAGGCGGAAAAGCGCACAGGTAAGCACAAAATAGACTTTCACCAAACACCCAAGAAAGCGAAAAGTACGCGGAAATTTATCGCTTCATTGCAATAAGTAAAATTTATGCTCAACTCAACATTAAATTGCGAACAAACACTTAACCCGAACACTACGGTGTACTCACATAAATAGTTCCTTAGGATAAGGACTGTGCTTAAATATAGTTTTATATGTTGTTTAAATGTGTTTAACTAAAGCAAACAGAAATAATGCTATGTTGAATAGAGCAATAAATGAGAGAGTTCTGTGAGTACTCTAACTTTAAATAATGGAAGGAAAAGGCTATAAGCGTGCGGAAAACTAATTAAACTATCTTCAATACGTATAACATATATTAAAAAATATTTTTTTTTCTAATTTCTTTTACTTTTCTTAATTATATCAGACTTATGATTACTATAATTTTAAAGTTTAATACTTTAACCTCAATTAGTATGCAACTAAAAACCGGTAAACCCAATTTTTCATTCAATTTTGCAAAAAAAATAAAAGAAAAAATTATGGAAAAGCTTAAAATCGCATAGTTTACTTAATCGCCATTTTATTGTTTACTTTCTAAATTAAACTTTTATATTTATACGTTTTCCTTCTACCTTATAATAATTTTAGCGCACCTTTCTCTTATCCTTTTCCGTTGTCAACGTCGGCCATGTCGGCAACATCGTCAGCGCCGCTTTTGTCGCCATAGTCGCAATCGTCTACTGTATTCCCGCATAATAATACTTCCTGAACTGACATTTTTGTTTTCTTTGTTGCCATTATACTTCCGTATTCTGTGAATTTTTGCGCTTTCTTCTTTTAATTTTGCAATTTTTTCGTAATTTCCTGCCAATTTAACATTTTGTATGAAGTTAGAGAAAAAAACAAAGAAATGTTTTAAGTTTTCAGTAGGAAACAAAACAAGAGCACAAAATGGCGTCTAAAAAGTTAAAAAATTTAAAAAGCAAAAAAAATATGCAGGATTAAAGGAACTTAAGAAAAAATTGGAAAAAAAAATATTTGTAAAGAAAAGCATATATATATTCTATTTTTTTGATTTCAATTATAATAAAATTATAAAAATTTTACAAACAAACATGTAAAGTGCAAGAATAGAGAAATAAGAATAGAGAAAAAATAAAGAAAATATATAAAAAAATAGACTTCACATTTTAGCGAAGTTAATAACTCGTTTATATTATTTTATTAATATTATTATTATACATACTAGACTATAATTTCTTTTATTTTATCTCATTATTTAGTTTTCCTTAATGAGATTACTTTTCTGTTTATATATATTTTATTTTTTTTATTTAAATTATAATAAAATTATAAAAATTTTACAAACAAATATTTAAATAAGTTACTTTCATAAAGCGCTCAAATCCTACACTTCGTAAAGAGAAATGAATTAAAGAGTAGAGAAAAAAAAAAGAAGAAAAAAATAGAAAAATAGATAAAAATAGACTTCACATTTTAGCGAAATCAATAACTTTTAATATTATTTTATTAATATTATTATTATATATACTAGACTATAATTTCTTATTTCTTATCTAATGATTTAGGTTTTTTTCAATAAGATTACTTTTCTGTTTATTGTCCTTACTTAAATGGCTTAAAATCTTGTTATTCTAAGAATATATATATCTAACTAAGATTACATAGTTATAACTTGTCTGAAAGTGGATAATATATTTAACAGGAATATGTATATGTTTATGTAATACATACTATGAGACAGATCAGATGCTTTAAGGTCCTTGAGCTCAGTCGAATCTACATCCTGAAGAATTTTTGACTGCTACACATCTCTAAAGGAGAAGGTAGACAAACGGGGTGCTTCAGCTAAACACTTGTTACACCTAAAAAAAAGTCGGGCATATCGTTGACATCATAAAAATTTTTGCTGAATTCTTTCAGTGCCATCATTAATTCTTTCAGTGCCAAAATATGGAAAGGCTTTTTAATAAAATATGGAAAGACTTAATTATAGTGTATGTAAGCAAATTCACCAATTTCTGCTAAGAAGAAATACTGTTACTGTTGCTCCAATCATTCTAATCATTGATATGCCCCGGAGAGACAAAGCTTGTGGTAGGTTTGCTCACGGGATAAAAGCATTTGCCAAAGCTCTGCTTTCAAGGTTTTCCAAAGGTGCTTTTTAAGCTTCGGAAAACTCTTTATATAGTAACACAATGGGTCTAAGTGGATCGTTTGGGTTGTCAGTATAACACAACTCAACCTAACCTAGAATAAGTATTTAAAAGTCTTAGTTTTCTTTGAAGAGGACACTCCTTTATCATTAGTAAATTACATTTACTGTTATAAAGAAGTAAGGTATTTTAATTTTATTAATTTAATAATTTCATTATAGCAAATCATAATTTTATAAATCTCAAAAACACATACATATATGCTAATTTTTCAATTCGAAAAGAAAAAAATATTTGTTTATACATATATTCTTGGAGTATATATTGTGGCCTTATGCCCCACTACGAGAAACGGACACTGAGGAGAAGTATATAACTAATATAGAAAAGAAAATTTTTTGTAAATTTCTTAATTTAAACGCTTTTAATGGTATAGTTAAACCAAAAATTTAGAAATATTTTTTTTAATATTTTATTGTAGCAAGTCATAATTTTTAATATTTTAAAAAGATATGTATCTTAATTTTTTTAGTCTTTTTAACTGAAAAACTTCTTTGCATGTCCTTGCAGTATATAACCAATTTAAAGATCGCTTTTCTTTGTTTGTCCATAATTTAAAGACCTTCACTGTTAGCCTTAAGAAATCTGCGTGAAAATTGCGATTTAACAGCAGGAAACATTTAATTGCTAAAGGGATATAAATGATTTTTATTTTTTCTTTTATTTTTGAGCGATTTTTTATGCCATAAACTGCATAAATTTAAATCGGTTGGTGTGTATATTTTATTGACTTTTTGAATCAACGCAGTTTACCACTTTCAGTTGTAAACAAGAGCAAAACAAGCGCTTTATTTGCAATCTTCCGTAGCTTTTTGAAATGTAAATATAGCAGCAGAATGGCTGCTTAATGTTGAAAAATTACGAAATGTATGCTTCCTCTTAGAAATTCATGCTTCGAGCTCTGCAAAATAATACACTCATTGGCCAACAAAAGCCCTGCTCACCACCTTCTTTCAACTTTATTTGCATTTTAAAATGTAAATAAACAACAACAAAAATCACTGAACAATGGTTGTTATGCCGGAGCCGAGGAATAGTAACCTCAGCAACCTGTACTAGAATTTTGCATATTAACTCAAAGATACACATTCAGACATAAATAAGCCAAGATTTTAGCATTTTTCTTGCTTTTTTTCGAAATTTATTCCACTTTTATTTTTCATTTTTTTATTTTTTATTTTTTTTGCAATGATTATTGGAAAATGGCAGAAGAAGTTTGTTTGAGAAGTTTTCACGCTCTATTGCTACAAACTTCTTTTATTTTGCATATTATTGTTCACTTTGAAAAGATTTTTTTTTTTTTTATACAAAATAACCTGCCGACGCGTGTCCTTTTTAAGGTCCATTTTACCTTTAAAAAGTCGTTTGCATATTCCTAAGTATTTTATTTTCCTTTCGTATGACAAGAAACAAAAGCATGAGATTTAAACCAAAGTACTTAGAAGAAAAATAAAAATAGTAAAGAAAAACAAAAAACTCGGTTGGGAAAGTTCTGTTTTCCTTTTGTTTTCGATGGAACTTTGTTTTTGTACCTTAAATTAAAAAGGTTATGTATAAATTATACACAACAATAAAACAAAACAAAACAAAAACAATTTTGCTTTTAATAGGAAACCTACTTATAATTTATTCTTTATAAAAAATTAACTTATTTATGTTTTATTTTGATGTTTAATTATTTAAAAATCTCTGCTTTATAAGTTACACAAAAGCTGTAAAGAAGTCCTGATTTGTATTAATTCAAGAGAGTATACTTTTCGGCGCTTTAGTTTCTTTTGAAAGTCAAATTTAAATATCGCTTTCAATAGGTTTATTAATGCAATTTCGGATAACTTATTATCCACCTTTTTACATTATATATATCGTAAATGCTATCGTATAGCTTAGAATACCGTCTCTAGTCGAAGATACGAAGAAAGAAGATTCCTTTTACAACATTTTTCATAGTAATTCCATTGAATCGAGTTAAAATTGCATACAAAGATACAATGAAGACTGCAGTTAGTTTATAATTAAAATTAAAGTGTAGGGTTCTTCCTAAGCTAATCATCAAAGACAAAAGTAAAGGTCTGTATGGAAACAAAATGCGCCTATAGGCCTAAGTGGAACCTTTGAATCGCCGGTGCAATCTAATTTAAAGGACAGTATGCTTAACATTTACAAATTCAAGTACATCTAAGCAAGATTGTAAAAGGTAGCTAGGATCACATTTTAAGAAATTGTGCTAATACAATAAAACTTAGACTTAGAATCATAGATGAGATTAAATAATAAAGAATGGTTTTAGTAAAATATAGTTACGCAGGGCGTTATGTTGTCAAATGAGGAATAGCGTTGGCGGAGAATAATTTAATTGATGAATTAATGCTTTTGTGGAATTTACAAATTTTAAAAGAAAATCATAATAATCACAAATAATGCCTCATCGAACAGAATAGTATTGAAATTTAATTTAATAATTAAAAATAAAAAAATATAATTAATTAGTTAATCGAATTATTCTACAGCTGGTTTATGATTTCATTGTAATATAAACACAGCATGTGAAATTGTTAATAAAAACTTTCATAGAAAAGTAACAAAACTCCAGAAATATATGCGAATATAAAAAGTCAAGTACAGCTCTGGATCAATTGGTTACGGTACGCTGATTCTGAGCTTCACATTTGGAAAGACCCGAGTTCGATTCCTGGTACTTGCAGTCTCAAAAATAATTATTTACGAATAATTAAATACAAGAATTATTTCAAAGACCACTGATGATGGGTATTTGGCAATATTCGTATCAGCTGTATGGTCAGCCAAAAATTCACTTAATTAAAATAATATAAAAAATAAAATTTTTGTTGTTGTAAT